TTGCTATGTTACTTTCTCCATTGATTCTAAAGATACTGCATGTTGACCATATTTCGCATTAGCTGCTAATACGTTAGCCATGTTAGCAAGCTAGCTTTGGTTTTAGGGAGAAACTAATGCATATGGCTTAACCGTTAATTTTCTATTTAATAAAATAAGTTGCACACACTAGTTTTTACTTAAAGATTATCTTTTACTAAACACTTAAACTGCCCTTTTAAGTACTATTTAGCTACAAAACCTGATACCGTAAAGCGTGTTAGGTTAGCGCAAGTTCCCGACTCAACCTATTCTGCATACTTCTAATTCTGTAACACAATAATGTATGTGTACATTAAATATTATTTAAAAACCCTGACATTCCTAAGACATTCCTGTGTCTAAAATAAATGTGTCCAATATATTGTGTCCTCAAAAGTGTAATAATGGCATGATAAAGTAGTGTGCATCGCATGTAAGCTACTTTAAGCTACTGTGAGGGGGCTTTACAATGTTGGAGCAGATATAAGGATTTAGGGGTTTAGCTTTTTTTTCTTCTTCTTACATTAGCGTGTCTACATGTATTGCATTCTTTCCATGCCAATATCTGTTGCATGCAAACACAACCACTTATCATTCTACACAATGAGGTGCTGATTAGGTGATCAGTGGTTATCACTGTACTCTTACAATAGGACCAGCAAAAACAGTGCTTGCAATACATTAGAAGTTAATGAAATCAACAGATTACTGTGGACCATGATAAAAGGTTTGAAAAGTTTTGCAGGAGGAAAAGAATGACTCAATTCTGGCTTTACTTGCACAGGGATACAGTGACAGTCGGGTTGCCTCGATTTTTAAAATTTCAAAGACAGCGGTTCATATGAATGAGGTCAAGCAGTAGACATTGGGGACAACAAAGCTACAGACAGGCAGAGGGCGAAAATGACTCTCCACTGTCTGGGATGACCGCCAACTCATTCGAATGTCACTCAACAACTGTAGGATGACATCAAGTGACCCACAAAAAGAGTGGCAAATGACAGCTGGGGTGAATGCACAGCCAAGACGATTTAAAACATGCTCCTAGGGGCAGGGCTGAAGTCATGCAGAGATGGAAAAACTCCCTTCATCAATGAGAAGCAAAGAAGAGCCAGGGTGAGGTTTGCAAAACACCAAACGGACAATACCATAGAGACTTGGAGTAAGGTCAGCAGCTCTGTAGAATCCAGTTTTTAGTTTGCCCAACATGGAGTTGTATAATGGTTTGACGGAAACCAGAAGAGGCCTACAAGCCACAGTGTCTCACACCACGTTTATAATCGGGTTGTGGATCAGTAATAATCTGGGGGTGCTTCAGCAAGTCTTTAATTGTAAAGGAATCAAGTCCCACACCAGGTTATTCTCGAGGGAAACCGACTCTGTCTATATGCATCGCCATCTTTATTGCTATATCAAGATGGCTGCTGGTGCGCTTTGTTTTGTCTTGTTTAGTTTGCAGACGACACTGCACTCATCGGACTGATCTCTGGTCTGAATGAGTCTGCTTACAGATGGAAGATTGACTATCTGGTAACCTGGAACAGTCAGAACAACTTGGAGCTCAACATTTGTGGGACAGTGGAGATTTAAGAAAGGACCCATCCGCAACCAGGATTTACACCCCTTAACTACACCATTGGGACATTGAATATGTGGGGTGGTAAAGGGGATGTTGCTTTGATAGGTGGTAGAGTCTAATAAATGTGAAGGTTACTTGCATGAATTCGCCTACCTTGACCTCTCTTGTGGTGGTACACCAATTGTCGACAAGTTAGCGTAAAGTCTGCAAGAGAAGTAGGTGGATTAGGATTCCTAGTAAATCTGTTGGACTACATGTTAATATGCTTTAATTGCACTCCTGGGATATACTGCCTAGACTCTGTGGGATAGCAACGTGAATAGCTCAGAGTTATCAAGTGTGGGTCCTACTGATAACCCCATGACACCTTGAAAGGGTTCAGCACCGATGTCTGATCATGTTCACTTACTTGGGAGCACAAGTAGAGCGCTACCCTCTCTGCAGCTCTGGAGAGATCTTTAACTGCTTGTCAAAGGGCCTTCCCTCACAATCCCAACTCCTTGAGTTGCTTTGTTGCTGATGTGACTACCACTCAGTCAGTGTAGTGTTGTCATAAGGCAGTCCTGCCAGTTGTATATTTTGGCAAATTTGCCATTTTAATGACAGTGCTTGCCCTTCTGTGAGCAAACATTCAACCAAAACAGTGTTACAAACCCTGTGCAGCTTACCTTGACTGGTCAGACATTTGCTAAGTTGTGGCACTTTTACTGCAAACTTAGGTCTCTTCCACATCATGCACTTGTGAGTCTTTTCTACTGCATCCTCCTGGGGCACTGTAAAACTGAAAAAGAATATGAACATGTTTTCTTTGCAATATTTGAGGTCTTAACAGTGGACCTTCTTATTTTGATCAAATGTAATTTTTCTTCAAATAAATGCTCTAAATGTCAGTATTTTTATTTAGAATTTGTTAGAAAAATGGTTAATTTTACTAAACCACATGCCAATAAATAGTCAAATCAGAGAAAATTATAATTTTGCATTTTTCCCCCCAGAGCTGAATGTTGTATACAACATAGAAATAGCCAAATGTACAGAACAAAAAGCAGCAGGAATATTCACAACAAAGCCCATCAGCTGAGGGATTCAGGGAAAAATGGAATGATGTCAGCTTTGGCTGAGAGTATGAAAATGCTTATGAGGTTATGCTGGGACACAAATACAGATATACACAAATCGGTGTGCACAGTAGACCACATGTCTGTAGTTATCTCGCTTGTGAGCTGTGACTAATAAAGGATTTACCTCAGTGACCCACCCCTGTGGATGATAAACTGGTTTCACCTCAGACGGCTCTATGAACTCCGTGTTAAGGTGGAAAGCAATTCAGTAGCTTTGTGGGAAACATTTGACTTTCACAACACTGAAGTGAAATCGCCCAGAGGCTTCTTACTCCCACTAACCCCTCCTCCCCACCACCACCACCACCACACACACAAACACACACCTCCCTAACCCCCTTCCTGGGAGAGGATTATAGGGCATCTTTTAACTGTGCCATCTGCTCCAAATTGACTTTCAATTAACGCTGGCAAATGAGAAAGCTGTCAGAGCAAAGAGCACAGCAGATTGAGATGTTGCCCTGCGAATGTTAAATCGTTGCGTGTTGCTGATGATGAGATTTTGTCCATGACAGGAGAGACGGAAAAAGGAAGTTGGTGAGGAAGAACTAAACAGGCATAGAATAAATGTAACAGCTGAAATGAATGAAGTGCGGTGCAGGGTATTGATGATGAAAACCCCCGAACAACTTCCTAATGGTCAATATATTTGGCTTTTGGCTGCAGTGCTCTGGCCTCAGACAAACAGAGCTCAATATTAGTCTACTAACTGGCCCTAAGGGACCCTGGGAGTTGTATTAACGTTAACCGCACTGCCTTTGCAACATGTCAACAGTGTCACATAAGGACACACATACATACTCAGAATCTATACACTCCTGTCCTGACCTCTTTTGCTCTTTCTCTCTCTCTACACACACCCATCGTACATGCACTTAAACATAATTACCTCTATAAACACAACGAGGAGGCAGTGCAGAGTGTGCGTTTTAACCTGTATATGGATGTGTGGTGGTGCAAACAGCTGGTCAATAGGCCTCAACTCATCCTCTGCCCACGAGGTCACAACCCCTGGTCCCCTGGGGTCAGGGGTCACATGAAGTGTGGCACACTATAGACCTTATGATAAAGGCCAGGTGGTCAGTGAAAAGGAGAGAATAAGCACCACTCCCAACACACACTTTGCGGTTAGTGGCTTTGAGAGGCAAGAAAAGGTTGGTGGGTCAAGTTACGAGATCTCACCGTACAACTTTTGCTCTTGAGGAGTAGTGGAGCTATAAATAGTGCTGGAAGTAATAGTAAAACCACAGTAGTAGTAACCATAGAGGTACAGTAACAAGATAAAATAGATAAAAGAGCTAAGACTATTTGAGGTTATATGTGGCGTTGACCAAATAATAAAGAACAGAATGTGGCGCTAAATTACCTCAAGTTAAAACAAAGAACATTTTCTGACTCTGGAAGGTGCCATCTTAGCGATTCTGTCTGAATAGATACATTGTCCATGTGGTAAACAAGGACAATTATGACGAGTGTGTGTGGCCAGCAGCTGCCTGATCTCCCACTACGGACTCAAAGAAGCGGCATCTGGACTGAATAATTCCTTGAAAAATGTGTCAGATGTGCAGATTATAAGATCCAGACGTGCCTGCTTGTAATCAAACATATGGTGACCATCACAGAAAAGAGAATAGAAAATCACATTCAGTTTGCTTTGACAAAAATATAAATAAAAGAGTGCCATATTACCATATTATCACTGATGTGGTTTCAAATTTCATTTACGAATTTGTTGATTATGTGGAATAGGTGTTTTTTTTCTGTATTATACAATGACTTGATTTGTTAAAGAAAAAAAATTAAATAAACATATTGTAGGCTGAATAACATTTAGACACATTTTTAAAATTGTACTTATTTATTTATATTTATTCATATGCTGTGTTGTCTTGTAATTCCATGCACATAAAAAGTTTAAACAAGAGTTGAGTTTGTGTGTTTGTATTTTTACAAATCCCTCAGAAACCAATCGAGAATATTTCATCATTTATTGAATTTTCTGTGTTTAATCTGCTTTATATCAATCATTTTACTTTAGCACAAATGAAAAGAGTACTAGTTGGGCTTCTGATGCAATACCCCAGCGGAGGAATCAAGCCTATACGAGCAGGACGGCAGAGGTTTGCCTTGTTGCCTGGATACGAACGCGGAGGGTGGCGCATTCAGTAGTCCGTCTGTGAGTGAAACTGGCTCTTCACAGCGGACATTGTGGCTCCGCGGAATATGCGCCGTAGACAGATGACCTTTCTCCTGCTTGAGCCCGAATGTCGCCAGTTTCCTAGTAGCTGTTGAGGGAGCACTAGACGTGAAAACAGCGCCATTTCTGTCGGCGTCCATGATACGCGATGCTACCGCAGCGGATTCCAGAGCTCGAGCTCGGAACGGCAGCGGGAGAGAAATAGCCGCTCCCCTTTCGCTGCTTCTCTCTACTTCAGACCACGGCAGGTAAGTAAACCAACGAACCGGCCGAAAGTTTTATTGTCGCATTGTGGTGCTTTAGTGCCGGTTTGGTGTTTTAATGTTTAGTCAGCTTGCTCTTTCGCTGTGTGACGATATGGCGCACATTTTTGAAGGGAAAACGTCTTCCAGTCCTCTGGTAGCCTACCGGGCAGCCGCTCCTCCTCCCCCTCGGTCACAACAACAAGCGTAGCTACGTGAAAGCTAACATTAGCTAACGTTTGTTTCAGTTTGAGTCGGACAACTCTGCTGTATTGTGTTGACTTTTACCATTTCCGTGCGCTGTATTTGCAACTGAAACTTTAGACTTACCCTAACGTTTGCTAGCCACCGTTTTAATGGAGTACCGTGAGCGCTCTAATGTCACCGTACAGAAGCTACCCCCGTTCACCTGCCCGTCACATAAACTAACATTTGTCTTCGCAGGGACTGGAGGACATCGTGGTTAAACCAATTATCCGAAATGTATCATGTCTTATCGGAATGGTGCATGCTAGGCAGTCGTAAAAAATAATAATAAAAAGACTGTGACAGAAAGCGAGCAGCTGTCGGGCAGCTAACCTGGCTAACTTAGCTCATTAGCTAAAGGTCGGTTGTCCAGCTAACCTTGCTATTTGACTACCAAGTGACGCTTATATCACAAGTCAGTGCAACGGTAGTTACCACTGTAGCTGTTACCAAAAATACAAATTCAGTAGTATATTAGCACAACAATGACATTGCTACTTGATCTCAGATATTGCTCCTGGCTTTTCTGTAGTTGCATTGCCGCACTCGATAGCACAGCGGTGTTGCGTTAACGCCAGTAAACCAAAGATATTTGCACAAAGTTACAGTCGAAGTGCAGCAGACTACGCGCAAGTTAACGATGCAAAATAGGCATTATTTTTTCCTTCCAATGTCAGAGGAATCGCCTCAATGAACGGATTGTTGGATAAAGTTAGTATGTTGACAGTGCAGTCAGTAGCTAGCAGCCGGGGCTAGTGTGCAGACAAGAAACAGCTGGGTTGTAGACACTGGTCAGCCATATTTAGATATTATCGCGCTTGCTAATCTTTCAGCTGTAGTCTGAGTCTAACTGACTCAATGATTCTCTACATAAGATCGTTGAGTGCTGAATTAGTGTGGTGGTACACTGTAAAGCTTGTTATCTTTCCCTTTTGGCGTCTCTAACGGATAACTTATAATATGCCACTGTTGAATGACGACCAGGCCGACCAATCAAATCGGTGCAGCCTCCATTTGCTCTTCGCGTCGGTGTCCTAATCCACTGCTGCCATATGAAACACATGCACTTGACGGCAAGCGTTTCTCTGCCTGCAGTTATACTCTGCTAGAATTTGCATGTTTTGTCACTGGCACTAATCCAGGACATTTTGGTTGTAGCACTCACAGTTAAACACCTATTGCTATTTGTGAAAGGAGTAATGAGCAAAAGTAACAGAACAAATTTGCTTCCTGTTTAAAGACTACTACAAAACCTTGCTGTCACGTATTTACAAGAGACTTTGCCATTAGTCACTTCTCCTGTCACGTAGTTCTTTTGTTGTATTGACTTTAGCAGAAAGGGCATTAGCCATAAACACTTAACTATCAGATATTTGAGATGATATCACATTTGTGTAAAAGGTCACTTTTTAGTAAGTGTGCTGTATTTTGAAGAAAATGCACATTTTAATTAGTTAAAACCAAACTTCTGATAGAGTGTTGTTCTGTGGAAAGTCTGTACTACTTGTTAACCTGTTTATCACTTTAAAAATGGCTGTATGTGATCATAATGTATCAAAACTATGGCTGCGGTCTACATTGTTAAACAAGCTTGTGCTCTCCTTGGAGCTCATTAGCTTGCTGGTAAGCTGAACTATGAGCAGTCCTTAACAACATCTTTTGAGATATGGAATCTTCTGTGGTAGGATCTGTCAGAACATTTGCCGTCATAAATTTGTCCATGCTTCTGTGCTTTTAAAAGCATGGAAAATAATTTTTCCATTGCTAAAAACAGTGACCTCTTGCTGTCATGCATTTTTAAGATGTACAAAGGCCTTGTTTTATGCAAGTTGGCATCATCTAAAATATTTCAGAGAAAGTGATACTGGTTTATTTGCTCTGTTTCAGGTTGTGCCGGTGAAGTAAGACGTTGCCCCAAAATGGACCCCTCTGACTAAGACGCAAACACGTCTTGTGTTTTGCTAAGCAGCTGAGATCTATCAGCAGCATAAGCCATGCCTGACGAGTAAAATTCCCCCTTTTTTGCTCAAAGCAATAAAAAAAACAAAAAAAAACATCCTACATGCCTCCCCATGTAGAGCCCCTTCAGTGCATCCTGCTGGAGTGACACCCCCCTCTTCCAGATAGGTTCTGCCTCATCCTTTTTCTGTACCCTTCTCCACCAACCACCCTACAGTAACTACCCATCACAATGCTGCTCTACCTGAGAATGGCCAACACCTGAGGTCCCATGCGTCCAGTGAGCACCGATTCAAACGGTCCTGCTCCTCCTGAAAACCTCTCTTGCCCCTACCCCCTTGTGGGCCCCCTGCCTGCCTCAGAGATGTCCCTGCTCCAGTCGCTGGGGCCAGTACAAAGCTGGCTCGGCCAGGAGCTTGAGAAGTGCGGGATTGATGCCATGATTTACACCCGCTACGTCCTCAGCCTTCTCCTGCATGATAGTTATGACTACGATCTGCAGGACCAGGTGGGCTCCCAAAGCATTTCAGAATTCTTTCTAGTCAAGTCAGAAAGCGTAGAAAATCATTGTTTGTTTGTGTTATGTGCTGTCAAATGTGTGGGCAGTGAGCTTTATTCAGGAGAGGAAGTTGGTGTGGGAATATAATGGCCTCATTAGAGGAAGATATCAATTTGCCAGGAGAGGTTAACAATGGGGCTTTTCTTGCACATCATGGCGCTTGTACAACTGACTAATTCCTCCTTGATTTCTGTCATTTGCCATCACATGTTTTGATATGCAGTTTACTATGTTTGTGTACAGATTGTACGAAATACTTAGTAGAAATTATAATCCTTAGTCAGTACGCAATATAACGGTGTATGTGCAGCATTTATATTGTATACTTTTTCCAAGTTTTTTCCCATTTAGCACTAGGTTGTCCTTTTGTTGCTGACTTTCTGTGGTTTGTGTCTGAAAGGAAAATGACATCTTCTTGGGATGGGAGAAGGGAACTGGGAAGAAATGGGGCAAGAGCAAGAAGAAAGGAGGGACCGACCTGAGTCTTGAGGAAATGAAGAAGCAAGCGGCCGTGCAATGCCTCCGATCTGCATCTGATGAAGTAAGCATTGCCCTCCTGGATTTTTGTAATCCACTGATTTTTGAAGTGTTTGTGAGGAGTAATGTTAGTCAAGTTATATTTTATTTTTCTGTGTTGCAAAAGAATAATTAACATGAATCAGTTTTGCTTTGGAAAATGTAAACCGATTAGTACTTTGGCACTGACTTGGCTTTTTTTTTTTTAAACTTCTGAGTTAAAAGCATTCTGAAAATCAGAGCTTTTTATACGTGCTGGCTGTGGACCAAACAGATAGCTGTTAATTTAAATCCAGCTGGCTACTTGATTATATACATTTTTGATTCTAATAAAATAGTTTTGAGTAACGAGCTGCGATTTGCTCTGTTAGTTGATTTAATGACCACAAGCCTCTGCTTAAACACAATTTGAGCATGATGATAGAACGTCTATCTGTCTCATTCCTGCTCCCACATGCTCTATACGTGTGTGTGTGTATGCACGCACGCTGAGCTGAGAGGTTGTATCCTGCCGAGTAGAGAGAGGAGAGTCATCCTCAGAGTGTGACAAATGTTTGCAAATAGTTGGTGACAAAACACATTAAGAATTGCATTGATTGCACTGACAGGGGGCATCCTCTTTACATTGGCGACTTCAGAAAACACTGGTGGCAGCAACTTGACGATTGCACTGTAAGCATTAAAAGACCGCTGAAAGAGCTGCAATTTCCCAGATATAGCACACAGAAGTTTATGATGACTTAACTATAAAGGTTATATCAGTTGGGAATAGGCATGGTTTTAAATATTAATAGCTATTTACAGACTGTGTGGGTTAAAATGCACAAAAAGCCTAATTCTTCTTCACACGTGTTTGCAAACGGGTAGGCAAGTTCATTACAAGAGGCAATAATCAAAAAATTTTCTTTGACTGGGGCACAATGCCCCCAGGCCCCTCTGGCTGGACACTTTTTTTCCCACTGACTTGCTAGTCCATATCCTCGTGGAAAGCCCTGTGAATACACAAGGCATGGTGAGGTAATTTGTCTAATTATATTAGGAATTTGTGACTGTAGAATTCCTTGTTGCTTGTTAAGGTGCAGTCATGCAGATCCTAATTGCATGAATCACGGTGGATAGACAGAGAATAAAGTTATGTCAGTGCGGGGAGCCAAAGCATTGAGCAAGTAAAGATCTGTACTGAAAGTGCATCGTAACCTTATTTTACTGGGTGGTCACATGCCCAGTTGCTCTTCATCTGAAAGGTTATATTAAGGTCAGCAGTTCATTTTTTAAAAACGTATAAAATAGTGCTGTTCTGACTTACAATGAATGACCTTCAAAAGGAATGTCATTTGTGTGTAAACATTTTATAAATCTCAGCTGTATTCCATGTCAGAGAAGGGGGCAAAAAACAGAGAAATTCTGCTGACATTTTCTTCTGCGGCCAGCTGTAGTAACGGGGGTGTACTTTAGTCGAGAATGACACAACGTAAAAAGCTAGAGGCAGGGAGGGGGAAGGGTCTGCAAGGCAAGAGGAGGAGTGTTGAGCTCCTCTCTGGGGACTGGACTCTGCGCTCTATTTTTTAACCAGCACACGCTGCACGGGATTGCAGCAGTGAGCAGCAGAGTCGGTCGGCTGTCAGCTGACCGGCATTAGTAAAATGATGCAAGAGGAAACACAGGGCAGAAGAAAACTTTGCTTTGCTTTTCATGAAGTGGCATGGTAAGGAATATTATTTTCTGGATGAGTGAACAGGAAATGAGTGAGCTGAAGAGCAGCAGGAACAGCAGGCAGCGGGAACAGCTATGTTGTGATTTATTTGAGGGTATTTGCCTTGACAGTGACTGCTTGGTCTGGGGTAGTGTTTCAACATGGTTCTCTTGTTTATTACAAACCCATGTTTTTCACATATTGTATTGCTCAACTTAAGAAGGCAGTAATTTAACAGGATATGTAGTAAATGTTCACTGTTAAGAGCAGTGTGAGGCACTCATTTGCGCTATTGCTTAGCCATTTACTTATTTATTTATTTATTTTTTTGAAGCATTTCTGCACCATAGCTAAATATAGCACAGTCATGGCTGAGCATGCCTAAGCTCTCACAAGTCAGCTGGCTTAAGTTGTGTCAACCCTGTGCCTTTCATTCTTTCTTCTGGTTCACGTTAAGGGTCAAAGTGGCTGTTTGGAACTCTGCATTCTTACCTGAGGCGACTGAATGTTTCAACACCAGCCAGGGTTGTTTTTTTAGAGTTGGAAAAACAAGTGGTTATTGTGTCTTTATTAAATCACAAATTGTAGCACACAGTTTCAAGTGCTGGTGCTAAGTGTCCTGCCTAAAATACCTGGGTACAACAAGTCAAATTAATTATGCCATTTGATTAGACTGTCAGTGAAGTTTTAAGATAACATTTTTATGTCATTGCTGGGAATACAATCTTTGGTAAATACTGTATGTTTGTATGCTGAAAAATGATATTTTATAAACAAGTATGTGTGCACGTCATGTAATAAAAGTGATGTGTAGTTTATAGTTGTACAATTACAGCAGATTGTGTAATTGGTTATAAGTGGGACAATCTGTATATCAAATCTTTGTCTTGTCTTTGTCTTTTGTGCAGAACTCTGGAATTGAGAGCCTGGTTGAAGAGCTTTGCTCTAAACTAAAGGACATCCAAAACAAACAGAAAGGTTTGATCTCTTTAAATATAAGCAGATTTAGAATCTTTTGACTAAGAAAGTAGAAGTTAAGTGATAAGTGTTCTAACATAATGTTTTGTCATTCCCTGTCTTTTACAGAGGAAAAACAGATTCAAAAGAAATCTGATGGCTCTCAGTCTCCTCCAGAGCGAGCTGAGTCCCCCTCTTCAAAGGACCAGGTGGAAATGTAAGCTGTACATGTAATAATATGGACATAGTGTACTTACAAGTTTGTCTGTTCAGAAAAAATGGCTACATAACACACCCATATTCTCTTGCTTATTAGAACCATATTGCTAAGGATGCATTTAAATCAGATTTTCTCTCTGTCTCTTGTGACTTCAGGTATTATGAAGCCTTTCCTCCTTTGTCAGAGAAACCTGTTTGTCTCCAAGAGATCATGACGGTGTGGAACAAGGCTAAGGCCTGCGCGTATTCAAGTTCATCATCCTCAGCAGCCCCACAAACCAGCACAGACACCTCTTCTCCCAAAGATTGCAACAGTGAAGGCGAGGCTGCAAAGGAGCGAAATCTCGAGGCATGTGGTACCATCACTACAGCGACCAATGAAAGAGGACAGCAACGGCGATGCAAGAAGGAGAAAGAAAACCGATACCATGGTGGTGCAGCAGCAGAGGAGAAATCCACTGTCCATTCTAAGAGACAGATCAGACACAGATCTGAGGGCAAATACCGACCCAGGTCCTGGTCTTCTGGCTCTAGTGAGGCAGGCTCAAGCTCAAGTGGGAACCAGGGTGACTCTAAGTCATCCAGAAGCAAGACAGTTAGAATAAGGCACAAATCCAGGGAGGCTGCAAAAAATAAGAGAACGCGCAACAGTGGGCAGGTGAAGCTTCAGGTGAAGGTTATTGACAAAGAGGAGCGAAGAAACGCAGGAGGGAGCAGTAGCAGTGCCACCGGCGGTGCTGCCAAACAACCACAGCTTTACAAAAAGGGGAAGAGACCGCTGAAGGAGATTCGTAAAGATCCAGGCTGGGTGGAAGCAAAAGAGTCCGGAGTTGAGGCCAGAAACAAAAAGGAATACATGGAGGAGCCACTTTGGTACACTGAGCCCATTACAGAATATTTTATACCTTTCAGCAGCAGACAAAGCAAGCTGGAAACAAAATATCGAAGCAAGGTAGACTCTCCTGATGGCTTTGCCATGTCAACCGACATGGAGAGGCTGCCTGAGAGAATCCAGGGAATCTGCATTGCCAATGAGAACTACCAGAGAGCATACCTAGCAGCGGGCTCATTTGTGGATGGGCACTTTGTGGAAGGGCCTGGCGAAGCAGAAGATGAAACTGCTGAACTTACTGGGACCTCAAGCTGCCCTCAGCCAGAGGATAGTAGAGATTTAGATGACAAGCATCTGTCTGAATTTACTCACTTCTATGAAGTTGACATTTATCAATCCATATTGGATACTAGTGCCTCAGACTCGATACAAGAGAGTCGGATCTTAAGCATGATTCGACAAAAAAGCAAAGAGCAAAGAGACATTGAGGCAGAATGTTGTTTAGTGTTAGATGGCCTTGAGCAGCAAGGGAAAAGTGCAATACGGGCAGACTCACAGGAAGCTTCGGGATCTGTTGGATTTTTAATGGAGGATCTTGAGAACATGGCTCAAGTATGGGGATGTTATTCACCATCTACTTCAGAAGATATAGATGGAGAAAGCTTCATAGGAGACTCTCCCATTCGGCTCTCCCCTCTTCTTGATAGTGTTTCATTCACCCTGAGCAAACTATCTGGAAATCTGGAGGAGCCACCTGTTCCTGAAGCCACCAGTGAACCATCTGGTTTGAACTCATCCTGCTTCTCTCTTTTTGAGCTGCAGTATGACAGCCCTACTTTTTCTTTTCCCCGCGACTCACTCACCGTTGGTCACGAAAACAACACAGATTCTAGTAGCTGTCTCGACCCACATTCTAATAAACAGTCTCGTTTGCTAATATGGACCAAAAATAGTGCCTTTGACGAAACTGAACACTGTTCTAACCTATCAACACGAACTTGCAGTCCATGGTCACATTCAGAGGAGACTCGTTCAGACAATGAGCAAGGAAATGCTCAGGCTGAGGACGCTGCTCAAATTGGCAATGAAGAGATTGACTGTATAATGCCTCCTCTTTCTGGTACATATCTTGAGGATGAAATCTTGGACTTTTTGCAAGAAGACTCTGGTCGTAAGTGTGAGGAGGTCAGTGTTAGCACAGCATCCAATCAGACCTTCACCAAAAAATCTAAATTGGAGTCCATTTGTGGTATAGCATTGGAAGAGGATGAGAGTAAACAGTACAGCACTGGCATGTTTTCAGACAACACAAACCAACAGAGTGATGATTACAGCTCAGGGATTATAAAAGACATTTGGACTGCAATTGGAGATGGCAAATCTGTAATATCAAGGCAAAGAGCAGAAAAAACAAGTGAGGGGCTCTTCTCAGATGAGTCGGGCAGTTACTGCTGCAGCTGTCTCGAGGTGCAGGCAAAAGGAGTTCCAGTTCAGGGACCTCAGAAAAAAGCAGTGCAGCGGTCAGAGTATCACCTTTGGGAAGGCAAGAAAGAAGAACAGGACTTAGCCAAAAACAAACTCTCCAAGGTAGATGGTGCTGGGGATTACATGACTCCGTCCAAGCCCTGGGACTTAAACTCTGACAAGGAGAGTACATCATTCATCCTAGGAGGGGTTTATGGAGAGTTGAAGACACTAAGCGGTGATAAGAATTGGGCTGTCGTACCGCCAAGTGACACCCAAGATAGCCTGCTACAGTGTGCCGCTGCAGCTGCATCTGCTTCAAGCTCAGACATGCTTACCATCACTGGCACAGATGTGTTCATGAACACGGGCAGCTGCTTTGCCCCCGGACACAGGCCCCTGTGGAGGCCTCTTGTGTCCTTTGGGCAGGGTGACCAGGCCATTAGAGGAGGCGGAGATGGATTGAATAAGGGATTTTCTTTCATCTTCCATGAAGATTTGCTTGGATCTTGCGGAGGCTTGCATAGTGAGGAGCAAGGTTTAGAATACCCGTTTGCATCCTTCAACCTGAACAATCCCTTCTCTCAAGTCCTCCATGTTGAGTGTTCTTTTGAGCCTGAGGACATGGCTTCGTTCAGTCCAGGATTCAAGCCCAAATCCATTCTTTGCTCGGACTCTGAGAATGAAGCCTTCCACCCACGAATATATGGCATCAACCGGACGCAGTATCGGGCCATTCGCATTTCCCCCAGGACTCATTTCCGACCAATATCTGCCTCAGAGTTGTCTCCTGGTGGAGTGAGTGATTCAGAGGCTGAGACTGACAAAGAGGAGATGAGTTTTCCCGTCCTGGCGCCGGTGGACGTCTTTGATGACCCTCAGGCAGACCTCAAACCTCTGGAGGAGGATGCAGAATGTGAGGGTCCTTATTATGGGAAGTCAGAACTGGAATCTGGTAAATTCTTACCCAGATTAAAGAAGTCTGGCATGGAGAAGAGTGCCCAGACCTCTCTGGATTCTCAGGAGGGCTCCAGTACCCTCCTGCCAATTGCTGAGCAAGAGATTTGCTTAGACTGCAAAACGGCAGCAGCTGCATCAAATGCAGGTGGACAGACGGACGTCTCAGTTGGCAAGATTCAAAAGGAGGAATCTTCAGGAGAAAAACAGTCCTGCTTATGTTCACCAGCAGGTCAGATCCCGAAGTATGGGATTGCTTATGACTTTGTTGGAGATGTGCCAGAGGTGAGGGTTCCTTCAAGTAATTTCATGTGTTGTGGTCAGTGTGCCAGAAAATGTAACCAAAAATTGACTTAACCATACAGTATTTCTTATTCTGCTGTCAGATGTGAAATGGGTTCCACCTGTGATCTCTGAGATGACTGTTGCTGAATCGCACTAACAACTTCTCATTTGTTTTGTTTAGTTCCCTCTGTTAAATATAAGTGGACAGGGAGGAACTGGCAACCAGCCAGATGAGTGCTGGTGGCAGAACACAATCTGTTCCCCTCTTTTCCCTGGATCTCAGTGTACAGGTAAACCCATGTTTGAAAACTTTTACCATCGTATTCACACAATACTTTATTGCAGCGCTCAAACCAGTAATGGCTGTTTTTATATATTTTTAAATTTGGGACATGAGCAGAATCAACAAGCTTTTCTCTTAAGTGATGAGGCAACATGGAACTAACAGAAGTCTATGCACCAGTCCCAAATTGCAACAACAATTAATGTACATGTCTGTTTAAATAGAGTAAGGCCAGAAAACTGACATGCACTGATCACCTTCTCCAACCAATATTTTTGTCATTTGCTCTGGTGTGAAAAAAGCCTTAATTTAATGTAATTTGTGAGCTTGGAGTTGATGCTCAAATAATGTCTTCTTGGATGTCCGTGAGTGATCTGCTGTTGTGGTGCTGTAGTCTGTTGTGGTCATAGTTGGAAAAACTGTCCACCTAATGGCCAAACCTTCCTGCCACAGCAGCTCCACAATGACACTCCCCTGTATAAGTATTAATGTTACACAGTATACGTTTACTTTGTTGGAACCAGAACATAGCCAGCCTTGTTTCAATAATTACACTGGGCTTTCTCATTTTGCCTGAAACGAACTTGTCTCGTCTGGTCCCTTGAATACTTAAGCACCTTTGGGATCTGCAAAAAAATGAGACCAGTGTTCAGTGACCCAAAATATTTTGTAATATAAAGCGTGATTAATGGGGAATGATCTGTCATTGACTGTGTGAATTCCTACTGTGTTACAATGCAGATTCATTAAAAGATACGGGACTTCCCACTAGGAGCACGTAAAATACCATCACGGACAACTTAAAAATAGGCTAAACGACAAAAAGCAGCTTAGTCTAAAATTATATTTTAAAAATAATTTTGGAACCACTTTTGTCAAAGTCCCACTTACTTGTGATACAACTTATTTTAATGATTGTGCAAAGGTGAAGCCGTCTAACTCCTCGGCACAACTTGCAATTCTCATCAATCCTGTAACCTTTCCCCTGATGAGGGGCCTTCTCAACACTGTTCTATCCAGTGCTCTGCTGACACACTGGCCACAGGAATTGTGCTGGCAATCTTTCCCAGCTCTGTGCAGTCGGTATAGATTTCCCAGAATTCTCTGACCGTTTCATAGGCTGTGTGGAATTTCAACCCGCTGTACCCATGCAGTGCTTTCATCATCGGCATCTCGCAGAGCATCCAAGTTTAAATATATAAGGTTGCACTTTAGTGATGTCCATCTCCCTCGCTGTGCCAAAATGATCAATTAGTCACTTGATTGTTCTTTTAGCATATTGCCGAAGTTCTGTGGAAAACATGACCAGTTTCAATTATCTTGGCTAGAGCTGATCACACAGCAGTGTTGAATGTGTGCACAAATTCCTCTGCAGCCTGTGTCACTTTAATGCCTTTGAACTCACCATCAACAAAGTCATGCCTGAAGTTTTGTTCTTCTGGGCTCAGAGCATCTACGGAGGCTTTCCCTATTGGGAGGATATCGGTGAAATAAACATCTGTCAGGAAACAGATTTAGCTTGTTCATCTCTGGCAGTTATACTTTGTTACATTCCCAGAGAGATCCAGCGCACAGTACATCATAGTTTTAGATTCGTCATGTCTTAGTTGCGTAGGATGGCACTTGACTGATGTGTTCCTGCTTGAGAAGTGCTTGACAAATAAATACCCTAAATTCACTGTGAGCTTATAGTTTGAACAGCTTTCGATGCAGAAGTTGTGGTCAAAAGGTGTGCAGCACACTTCAAGTGTATGACACAGGCTGACACGCACTTCTCCTTGTTGTAAATGCATTGTACTGTCCCTGAGTGAACATCTTAGTTATCCAGGAAATGTGTTTTTGGTGTTTCCTTCAGTTTCAAATTTGAAGTCCATTTTGAGATTCTTTTGTTATGTAATTTTCGGTATTATCAGTTACTAGACCTAGACAGTCACTTCTGTTGAGTTTGACGTCCAGCTGTTCAATCAGTTTTGTCCAGATTGATTTTAATGGCATTTACAGAGCCATTATCTGCATAAGCTTGTGTTGCTGTCAGAATTAGGAGCTTTTCGAGATTGCAATAAATCTGTTAACTTACCAAACTGATGGCATGGAATGTCGTTTATACCATGCAGTAAACAACTTTCAATGAGGAGATAAGCACTTGTTTTTCTTGACTTGAGTGCGTTATGGCAGCGCTTTATCATGGTACTTTGCTGCTGTGTTAAACGAACAGCTGATCTGCAGTCAGAGCATTGACTGTGTTACGCAAGTGCAGTGGATTTCAAATTGACTGACATTTGGGTAAAGCCATTTGTTCCACCTTTCCTCTCACAAATGGCACAGAACAATTTACCTAGCCCGTCCACCTTTTCATGTCTTAATCATTTGAACTGTGCTTAACAAGATCATTTAGTTTTGTGACACTTGTATCTTCGGTTTCTTTACTAGCTTGATGGTTTTCTGGAGTATTGCTGTCCTTGAATGCAGTACTCTCACCATCACTTGGTTAAAAATAAACAAACTAAACAAAAACAACCGGCCGAGGGATGTCTGCTTTGACATTTTGGAGTCGTACTAATATGAGTCATCAGCGTATTGCTCATTGTCGTAATAACTCAACTTTAGCATAATAGAAGTTTATTTTTGATTTGTCTTGCCAGCATATTCTGTAGCTCATGAAATTAGGCTTTTTAAGATGCTATTTTTGTAATGTATTTGGCATATTTCCCAGTGGACATTTTGGCCATTGATATTTCCATCTGCCCAACAACTACACGTGGCGCTGGGTAAAAGCCGACATATGCCAGCTAGCGTAAACCCAGATGTGATCTGTCAAAATAGAATCCCCCGTTTTTCATTTACAGTTACCACAATCCACAGAGTAAATGTTGGGGAAAAAAATGCTTTGGCATCAAGCTGAAGTTTCTTATTAGATCACAGAAACTGAAGGGTAACAGGAAGACAGCTCACAAACACTAAAAATGGTTGCAAAGTGACACTAACAAGTTACATTCTGGAGCTCTACAGATCTTGTTTAATTTAAAAACTGAGAAATTCAACACAGCGGTAGATCAAGTAAACTGTACAGTGAACAGACAGGTGCAGGGTGGACTTCATGGTGTGCAACAATCTAACAATTTTGCCTTTTTTTTTTCCCCCTCTCCAGGGAGCAGCAACATTTGAATACTCCAGTTTTGCAGAGGACGCATGTCGCCGAGAGGAAACCTTTCTCTCCTTTTGTGACTGGACCTCTACCAGCAAAGATTCAGGGTCATCTCAGAGCTGGAAAACCTAATGTAGGCTAATTTTCTGAGACACCCCTCCAAAACCCCAACACATAACCCTGTTGGTTTTCATTTACTAACTTAAAAACCTTGTGTAATCAACAATCAGATCAACAAAAAGTGAGAGAAAATAGGAAAACTCAAAAAATATGTTCTGTCTTTGAGTGATGCCATGTGCTGACATGCATTTTAGGCATTTTAGAATTTAAGTTGATTCTTCTGTACACTGGTCCTCATTCAAGTCTCACAGTTAGGTAGTAGGGACAATCTTCTATCCTCGTCAGTTTTGTTCCCACCATTTTGCTTTTGAACTAGGATTCTGGTAGTTGGTGGTGTCTGAATGGTTGTGCATGTATGTTTGTCCAACCGGTCTCACTCCTCTTTTCTAGTTGAACCTAATGTTGTGTGAAACAACTGCTATCGCATCCTCTACTTTCCATCTGGTGTTCAGAAAGACAATATAAGGATGTTGAGATTTTTTTTTGAGTTGTGTAAGAATTTGAGAGTTTAATTTATATAGTTTGTTTGGACGACTTTCTGAATGTGAAGTAGAGAATGTGTGCAGCTTTCTTCTAAATATCCGTAAATTCCCCATGTGTGAAAAGTCATCATAAGTCTGATTTTTGAATGGTGATAGTCTTTCAAAAGCTAGTAGTAGACATAGTATGGTTTGTGAGGCTAAAATAAAAGCAACTTTTAAAAATAAAAAAAACAAAAAAAAAACAAATCAAAAGGAGTTTTGTTGGCAAAAATACTAATAATCTACTTGAAAATGCAATGCTGTAAAAGAATTTGGGGGAAAAAAAAGAAAAAAAAGTTTGTGTTTTGGGGTCAAAACCCATCATAAAAAGACGTGACTACAGCCATTTCTGCAGACACCTGTGTTGCAACTGAATGAAACTTTGTTTTATTTTTTTGTAATTTCTATGGTACAGACTATTGGTGCTATAAATATGTTCAAAAATCTTTTGAAGTTGCAGTTCCATAATATGGCAAGTAGATGGCATTAGCCTAGTTTTGTTTGTAGACCAGACAGTCAGACTCCATGAATATCTTTTTTTCTTTTTTTTTTTTTTTGCAAAAATTTGTGAAGAGAAAAGTTTTGCCTGATCGCAGTTCTTGCTTAATGTGGCTTGGTTTTTATTTTAAGGTAACCTCCTAGTTGTCAGGCCTGTAACAGCTCAAGCAGAAATACTTGCAGGTATTTAAATCTAATGTTTCTACACATTGTTTCAGTTTAAAGCCCCCAAGCAGGAAGGACACAAATACCATTGACTGTCCATGCTGCAGTTATACAAATGTATAATGAAAAAGTGGCGGGGCGAATGTCAAAACCAAAAAAAGAGGCGTAACTACACTAAGGTACACATGCTTTTTTTTTTTTTTTTTTTTTTTTTCTTTCTTCCAATATGAGGTGTGTTTTTATTTGTTGGTTTACAATATATCTTGTTGAAATACTGAGTAATGTCTCACTGAGTGTATGTGTGTGTGTAGGTATAGAACTTGTGATGGCACTGGTTCAGAGTGAGTGTACTAGAACTTTATCTCAGAGAAATGTGAACGTCTGTAGAGACATACAGTACATTCACAAAAATGCAAATGCATTAGTGTCCCCTAAATCTGAAACACCCCCCCACCCCCCTTTGACCAGATTAGGTCTAAAAAAAAAAACCGTGAGGTGTTGTTTACCGACCCTCCTTGTGACCTGTGCTTTTGGAAATTAAATCCAGTCGAAGCATTTGCAGATAAATGCGTTTCTTAAAACCTGCGTTTTCTTTCTGCTCCACCTCTTCTTTTTTTTTTTCCAAACAGGTTATTAGAACAGTAGCAGCGTGACGTATATGTGATATACCATCAAACTGAAGCACAGAAAACTAAAACGATCCCTCCATGAATGGGCAGTTCAATAAAACTATGTCAGCAGTGTGCGCTGTAATGCACTGTCGCAGGTGAAGGTGTCTATTTCGGGCATGGCTTTGGAAATGGCTTCCTCATTAGTAAACGCACCGATTGTGAAGGCCCAAGGCTTGTTCAGTCCAATGCCACTTTAATAGAAAAAAAAAGGACCCCCAAGGAGCTGAATGAAAGGTACTCAACTTCAGGGTCTTGTCACCTTTCTTTGACAGTCATCAGACACTCAGGAATTTTTTAATATAAGCATACTGCATAATCTACACTCAGACCTGTGACAGTGCATTGATGCATTAATGTAAAACCTTTCTTTGATTGTAGAACAGAAATTACTGACAGGAAGTTCTTTTCAAGCAAGCAGCAGAGGTGACTGTCATTAATTTAGAGCTATAGTTTTTAGGGAAAAATAATAATAAAAAAAAAAGAACTAAGCCATTGTAGGTTGCATAAGCAATGCGAAAGGGAATTCAAGAGCCCTGAGTCCTATGCAATACCTTGGCGCATGTACACATATGGAGTATATGGAGAAAAGTCATTCAGTTAATTTTGCATGTGGATTACTTTTGAGTGAAGGACACCTGAGAGAGAGAGAGAGAGAGAGAGGAAAAAAAATAAACTATGGAATGTCTAAAAAATAAAATAAAATAAAAAAATACAGCATGCAAACATCACACTCCATCTTTTTAAGTTGGATTAAACAAAGTATTTTGGTTTAAAAAAAAAATATTATGAGTGAGGTTAAATCAGTGATTGAAAGATGTTTTTTGACTGTGTGTGTGTGTGTGTGTGCGCGAGTCTGACCGTGAATGCGTGCAAGAAGCAAAGTCACAAAAAGCACTTACGTGGGAGTTGAAAGGAATGCATCACACCTTTCTCCATTTATTTCTTCCATTTTGATAGGCCGCGTTTCAAAAAATAAAATAAAACAAAACATGTATGACGAGAAAATGCATTCAGTGAGGGTATATGTGTTTGGAAAGACATCGACAGGGTCGCTGAGTTTCGATTGCACTGTGGTCTGAAGAAAAAAAAAAAAATATCCAGCACTGAAAACTTGGGTTTTCCTCGTCTTTTCATTCCCACCTAGATGATGCTCCTTCACCCTCCCCTTCCTCTATGTTCCTGAATCCCATCTGTCCCGAGTAGCTGTGTTGTTCTAATTTCATGTACACCCTGAGTAAATTATTTTGTTTCATTGTGGATTTTCTTAACATCTAATAAAGGAATAAACCAAACCTCAAACCTGTGTGGCTCTGTGTCGTCCTTGCCTGAATGCTGACTTTTGTAAGAGGAACTAATTGAGCAATGTTAAATTTGAGCTCCTTAACCTCATGGTGACAGTAGAGAGCAGGACGAGCGTTCTGTGGGAGGAACATGCAGCTCCTAAAGGCTTTATATCACATCTGGCTTCAGCTTTTGTTTTTGTGGACGTGTATTAATGACAGCTTTGAATATTTTAAGACATGGACAGTGAAAGTCAAGTATTTCTGTTGGTGTTGGAAACTATATTTTGGTGTACTTCATGGTGGCCACTACAGCATGTATTCAGTAGGTTCTATTAACATGAAGCGATTAGCTTTTCATTTATTGGCTATTGCATACATGGGAAATGAATGAAACAATATTAAATTTTTTTAAAAATATTAATTATTTTTTTAATAATTAAAATGATGACTTATGGGAAAAATTATTTTTATTTTTTATTTTCATCTAAAAACGAATATATGTACATAGATAGAGAGAGAGATAAAGATATATAGATGATACAGTTAGATATATACAAATCAGAAATTATATATTAATGACAAATATCCGGAAAAAAATTTAGTTTTTCATTTATTTTTTAAAAATATATAAAAATAATATGTGTACACATATAGAAAAATGTTATTAATGGTATTTATACAGTTATAAAGCACACATATGTCACGTAGTTAAGTATATCACCCAGCGTCTTAATGATGACCGTGTAGGTACTGGGGTTGCGAGGTCGATTATTAATGCCTTCAGGTCCAGACAGGTGAATCCATCCACGGGCTTCATTCTTGACTCGATTACACCGCACTCTCCGTACAAGTTTGTTTTAAAATGGCGGCGGAAGCATCGAGACAGGTATGAAATGTTGACGATTCCGGATAAACTTGTCCAATGTGCTCGTTAGTATAATTCGCTAAACACCGCTTAAGTGTTTCCTCTTCTGCTGTGCTGACGTGAAGTCACAGAAAGAACAACACGTCTCTCGCATTTTAACTAAATTTGGTTCCACTTGAGGAAGCGCTGGCGAAATTAGTGAGTTGGCGTCCGCAGCAAGTGCACTTGGCGAGCAAGTCCGGTTCGACGCTTGTGTTTACCGGCCGCCTGCCTTTTTTTTTTTTTTTCTTTATTGAGGTGAGTGAATGTGGCAACAAATGACTCTGGTCGCTGTTTGTGTGCTAACTTAGCTGCGTTGAGGAGGCGGGGGTGTGATGGTGGTGCAGCAGTAGTCCCCACAGCATCATGGACCGCTCCGGCCGGCGACTACCTGCCACCCACCTGTAGCTTCAACCGGCAGCATGGCGAACCCGACCCACGGCACCCAGGACCGGACAGACAGCCGCTGTGGTACGTTACTGTGATGGTTGCCCTCTGTATTGATCACGGTTAACACGCGTAACGACGCTTACTTTGACCTGATGCTGAACGCGCTGCCCTCGCTGGTAACATGTCAGGTCACGCCAAACTACATTTAAAAAATGTCAAAATTAAGCATGCTCTTAGATATTTTAACTTCACACCGTTATCAACCATAACAAGTAGCATTTTATGTATTACTTGAAGCCAATCTTAAATTCGGCGTGCATATAAAATAAAAAAAAATTACTTTAAACAAAATAATTTGACTCTTTTTATGACTTATTTTAGGCCTGAGTTCAATTCAGCACAGCTTTAATCAAGTGTCACTAGATGAGATTGAATTTAAACTCATAATATATAAAACTGGCATCCATCCATCATTGTGTGAATTACTAAAGCCAGTCTTGAATTTTTAAAATACAAATTATCACGTTTTTGTTGTTGTTGTTTTTTTAAAAAAAGACAAAATTATGACTTTTAAAAGATAATTTGTCATTAAATTCCAAGGCTCAGGAGTCTTCTGGCTACATGCTCCTTAGTGTTGGAGTCTAATTTCTACCTTTTACTTACTGCGATTTGTTGATGACTTCCCTTTGTCCAAAAATTGTCACTTTTTCTTTTTTTTAATGTGTTCAAGACAAATACAGCTGAACTTCAAACTATCACCTTGTGTCTTAACTCAAACAGGAGCTCATAAACACATTTGCCCTCATGTTAGGATTTGTGATCCTCTTCAGCTGAAGATAAAAGTGCTTCTGCAGCTCCTCACAGAGCCTGATAATAGTAAAATTAGGTCTCAGAGAGCAACATTTGTGTGTACATTCAAATGGACTGGCCCGTAAAGGCAACCTTGATGTTGTTTAATGATTTTAAAAGCACAAGAGCACTCATGTCTATGCTGGTGTGTAGATTATTTCCACAGTGGCACAGGAACAACCTGTTGCTGTGTTTTGGGACAAAGTCTGCCCAGCTCACATGACAACCTGCAGGTCAGGGTTTAGAGCTTGGGTAAGAATCTGGCTTTGTGTGTGTCAATGGTTTGGAAAATTCTAAGCTCTGTTGGAGATTCTGACTCTCCACGTGTGTTTATTTTACTGGGTGAGGCCTTGCTTTTTTTTAATATTCCCCCTTTTGCCTTCTTATCATGTCTCTCAGTTACTGAATCGAATGTAACAGAAGCGTTGAGTCACGTTCACTAGAACAAGTCGGTGACACTGAGTCATGCTGGTGTAGCCCTGAACTCACCTCGTAGTAAAAAAAAAAAAAACTCCCTCCATATACATCTACAGCTGGACTGCAGTGTTCTTCCTCTTGCTGTGAAATGTATCAGAAGCAGCCAGGATTCATGAAATTCTCTCCATTCCTGTTAATGCAGCTTAGAGCTTAGGCACACTAGCTTTAGCTTAGCCTCCCAGCTGGTGTTGAGGCATGATGTAGCCCTGCTGGGGCCCTGTTCACATTACTTTGCAGACTCCAGTTACAGCCTGGTTACTGTGGGATTAGTTCACACAAACAAGGCTTCCACACACATGTATCCGATGTCATGGTGAGTTAAAAGGAAGCTTTAATGATATTCTCTTAAATTGTTGTTGCAGATTTTTTTTTTAGTAGATTGAATATTCTTCTTTAAATGATCACGTAGTCTGCAGTCAGAGATGATTAAGTGCATAAATATGAGAAGCTGACCCTCAACTTTGCTGTATTATATAACAAGTATTACTAACTGAATTGATTAGGCCCACATTTATTAAAAAACATGCACCGTGTGAGACCAGAAACATGAAAGGGTTTAGTAGAATGTAACTCGGAGGAGCCATTAATACTGCGTGATAATGCAGGCGTCAGCTTTTCGGTGCACACAATTAGGCACATAAATTATCACCAGAGAAAGTAAACACACTGCCAGAAGGTGAACCTGCTCGTCCTGCCCTGCACAAATCGTAATGATTCTCAAATACACGCCCCCTTTCGCCCAAGGTAATGTCGTCAGGTTAATTAAGTTGCCTGGTTAATGCTCGAGCTTTACAGTGACGTCAACACATCCTCACTTTGACAAGACATTTCACTGTTTTGGTTGAAAAGTGACATAAATTATAATCAGATATCTAAATAGTTGCAAAAATATTCTTGTGTTTATTGATTAATTAACTAAATATGTACTTGTACAGCACTTTCAATGTGTTTAAAAAAAACAAAAGTTGCTACCAGATGATAAATATTGATTAAAAGGCTAATGCATAGATGAGATAGATCAAGAATGAAAGGTATCCAGCAGAAAGTGTTAAAAAAAAAAAAGTTTTGTATTTCTCACCAAAATGCAGCGTATTAAATGCATCTCTTTCCCCATAAAATGTCTTAATTTAACGATTTAATAAATAATAGTGTCCATGTTTTCGAACCAACAGTTGTCTTCTTCCCTGTCTTCAGTGGCACCTTGCTGCTTCTTTGTGTGTTCATGCCACCAACTGTCAGGCTGTGTAACCGCCAGCAGGGATGTTTCATTGATTTGTTCACATCCTTATGTCTGAAATCTAAATAATTCAGGGGCCCAGTCATAAAAACCCTGTTTCATAGTGGACCTAGTGGTTAAAATCTCTGCATAGGGGAGGAAATGGTAAAGCAAGTATGGAATAAAAATTGTAACACGATAAAAGGTACTGTTAATAAAATAGTTTCATCTTCTTTGGTGGTTAATCCACAGTCAGGAGGCCCGGATGGTCAAAAAGGCTAGTCACATGTGAGCTAAGGTAACACTACTGTTTGCTCATTTATTGAATATGTTGAGTTTTCATTAGAAATGTAACTTGTTTTATTGTGTAAAACAGTTGTAAACATGTGTAAATGTTTATGTTCTGTTCTGAAGGTGTGTCTGGAGGAGCCATAGTGGAGAATGGCTCTGTGGTCAAAGACCCGACAGCTTCTCACCTCCACGAACAAACCAACCACCACTGCCATGAGTCCAGCTCGACCCCACTCAGCGAACTCGCCCTGCCCAGTTACAAGCCGTCCTGCTCCACCCCCATCTACTACAGCAGCCCCCAGAAAAGCTACTCAGACCTGGACCCAGATAGCCACAGCTTAACTTCCCAGGACTCAGGTATCCCCACTCTGGAGATCAACCCCCCAGAGCCCATCCTCCACAGCCACCAACGGCCAGGCGACGGAGGCCTCATCCTGGACTCCAATCATGACTCTCCCGCCACTTTACCTCTGGATAACAATCCCTGCGACGACAGCGCCATGCGAAAATCCTCCACCTTCCCGCGCAGTGGCTACGACTCCATCCGCCTCTTCAGCCCTGCTCTCCGATTATCCGCCACCTCGGGGATGGGCTTCGGAGGTGGAGCCTTAAACCGCAGCGACGACATCTCCGTGTGCAGCGTGTCCAGCATGAGCACGGAGCTATCGGTCTCCAACGAAGACATCTTGGATTTCACCGTCACTTCTGACTCCAGCGCCATTGTCACCTTGGAGACGGACACCAGCGGCACCGCTCACTTCTCAGACGTGACGTTGTCGTCGTCACCGGGAAACTCCAGAGACTTATGGAGTCCTGGACGACTGCATCCGGGGTCGGGTAGTATGCAACAGGAGGAGGACGGAAGGCAAAAGAAACTGGGACCTCTAGCAAGCTTGTTCACAAGGTAAGTTCACACTAACTCCATTCACAATATGAGTCTTTATGAAGACAACTTAGATTTTACAAGGTGCTGGGGTGTTCAGAGTGAAACTACATGTGCACATCTTGACTCCACACACTTATTTTAGACATTTGATGGCTGTTCAGTGGTACGATAGAATATTTACAAGGTGTAGGAATGAAACCTCATCTCTATTTGCTATTTCTTCATTCACAATTGGACAGCAGATATACTGTACCTGCAGTTATCCACAAGCCAGCATTAATGGTGGCAACACTTAAACTCTGCATATCAGAATTTAAGAAGGATGTAAACATGGAGTTCTGGCGAAAGCATTCTGCTGCTACAGAAACAGATAGCTATGACAATAAAGTGAACCACAGTAGTAAAAATGTAAACTGCGTCTTCACAGAAGTTATACTTACTGATAAATGCTATACATAAGTATGTCCTTGCATCTGTTTAGATTGACAATGCATATGACATTTCTTTTAAAATATATAGGTTGCATTATCATTTGTTAAGATTTTTTTCTGCACATTCTACCATCTGGATGTAAGAAGAAAAGTAAAAAAAAATCTTAATTTGTCATTTTTAAGTGAAATTATTGATCTAGGGCCATGAGTAACTAAAAATAATAATAAAAACAGAAGTATTGCTGCAGCCAAAATTATATATTCTGTACGTTGCCTCATCACAGATTCTTTGTTGTGAAGGCCTTGCAGAAGTAGGCATTACTCAAGGTTGCTTTTCAAATCTCTCTTAGCCAAGACGTCTTTCTCACACCTCCCACCACTTTTGCATATTGCAGCTCACCCAGAACGTGACCCCGTGCTCTGCTTATCAAGGCACAACATTAGTTAAGACTAGCTCCGAGGCTCGCTGCACTAACGCTTCACTGCACTGCGTCTCGCAAATTGTCTCCAGTCATTAACAAGGAAGCTTAAACACTGATGAAATGAGTGGCTTTCATTTGAAAAGAAAATAGATTTACACCCACATCATGTTCCGATACCCCAGATTCTCCAGGATTTCCTCAAAGTAAATAAAGCCGCATCACATATTTTGCTCTTGATGTTGCTGATTGGCCAAAAAGGGAGACGGCATCATTTTCGGGGGCCCACACTGCTGCCCTGTTTCTAAACAGGATGCCGTCAGGCCGTCGCATGAAATGGGTTACTTCCCATTTCTGATTGTGTATGATCGAAGGTGTGGTGTTCCTTCCTCCTAAATAGATACATGTATGCTGCAGCATCTTGGAGTTTACCTTTCTGAATTTACAAGGCGTTTTGTCCAGGCACCCAGTGATTAGAGTCTGAAATGAAGGAAGAAATAAGAAAAAAATGTTAAGTGCAGCAAGCTAAAGAGCGATGAGTCGACCTGTTGATCGATGCCAGCAGATTGTTCATTGTCAGCTTCTATTTACCCCAGCAGACTCTGTCATTAATTTACACGCAGTAGGAATTTGCTTGGTGAATTTCAGCAACGTTTTAAAACTCCTGTACTTGTTTTCACACCCTCTGACTTTGATCACGTGTAAAACACAATCAGGCAGGCCTTTCATTTCCTCTCACTGCTTTGCCACATTCCAGTTTCTGCTGGGGCCCTGAGATTTCCTACAATTAATAGAGCAGGAGGTTTTACAGCACCTTTTATTTACTTTTTTAAAAATAGTTTTGGACCAAAATGCTGGTAGAAAGTGTTGTAAGCTGCCGCCTGCTGTTTTATTTTATGATACATTTGTGTGTGTGAGTGACTGAGCAAAGTTCAAGGTTTGTGCTTCAAAACCATCACCCTAATCAAAGCCTGCGATTACAGCGTTAGAGCAGGGTCATAAAATGTTAAACACAGCAATCACTGGAGGATTATGATATCCCTTGCATCATGTTATATTAACGATCCTTGTAATATAAAATGACGTGCAGTAAAATTAGATTATCTAATAGAGATGCTGCCAGTAACTGTGTGTTGGTTGTGGCCAATATTGATGAGGGATGATGAAATGAGCTGACGATATGTAAACAGGGCTTCACATACCATCAATTCATTTTAGACTGAGAGATTTTGGACTGCGCCTTCTGCCACCATCAACAAAACACCAAATGAGGGGATGTCTTTTGGAAGAATGGCGTTCCATTCCTCCAGTAGAGTTCCAGAGACTTAAGAATCAGGAGCATTAAAGCTGTTCCAGTGGTGCAACACCTTACTTAGAAACGGTGTTAGTTTTTCCCTTTAATTTGTAATCCCATCGCCGTGGATTGCCACGAAATTAGATCCAAAAATCCTTAACGAACAGAGGATGATCTTTGGATTTCTCTTTCGCGCAACCAGCATTTCAAAGTTTGACTCTGGTACTTTGGTTTGTGACACCTTCATCTTTAGCTGCACTATTATAATGTTTGCGCACTAATCATCATCCCTACTACACATCAGCATGTTAACACTATCAGGACGAACGTGAGAATGTTGCTTACTCACGTGATCTTAGCAGGCTTGCTAACATTAGCCGCCCACATTTAGAAGTCACCTGGTTTGGTTCAGAGGTAAAGGCTGTATGAACTGCACTGAGGGTCACCAAGGCTAAGCCAGCTGTTAGTGATCATTAACCCTCTGGACCCCAAGCTCCTGTCACGTTTTTACTATTTTTTTTACTACAGCATAAAGTGCTCACAGGTTTTGCTGTGCTTTACACTTGACAAGGCCAGTTTATATTTTTACAACCCCTACAAACTAGGCTTTTTTCACACGACGCCACATATCAACTCCAAAAAGATATTTCATCATGCTAGATGTGTCTTCCAACATCTTGTTGACAACTTGCTTAACTCTTTTAGCTCCTTGCGACATTCATTTCACCGCTCAAATATGTTTCCTTTTCCTCTCAGCCTCTCTTCTTGCCTCCTCTCTGCTCTGTAAACACAGCCTGCAGTTCAGTCAAAATGTCACAGAAGTTTTGTCACGTGACTGTTGGTTGCAGCTGAGTCCCAGAGAGGCGCAAAAAAAAAAAAAAGTTGTGCAGAGAGGCATAGAAGCCTTTGATTTTTGCAGGATCTGGTGCAAACTTTACATTTTGGGCAAGTTTTTAAAAATAAAAAGGCTAGACAAAAAGTGGTTTTGATTAAATAACAAATTCAAGGACCATCAGAAAAGCTGAAATTCTGCCTATAATAGATAATTTCCCTTTCAAACCAGTTTTTGGAAAATGAACAGAAGTAAAGTTAGTTAAGTAATGTAATCTAAACTTTCCCAACACTGGCCAATACTGTACGTTTGCTGTCCTTTCCGAGGTAAAAGTAAACTTTATTTTGCTTGTAGTTGCTCTGATGTATCTTGGTTGATGTATTTCTGAGCACTTCCAAACCACTGTCCCATCTGTCACACACATCGCTGTCTGTCTGACATGTTTTTGGCTTTTAAATGGTGATTAAAAAGAAACGCTGATACACAGATTTTGTCACCCTTACACAGTAAAACAGAGTACAAACTATCAGAGAAGCAGTTTCTGGTCATTCAGACACACACACACTGTTGTTTACAGTCGCTGACTTTGACTGATTAAATAAATCAGATGACGTGATACATTAACTGTTCAATGGCATTACCTCCCTCGATCCCCCTCGTCCCTCCGCTGTCTGCTCTCACATGGAGAAGTTACTCACTCCCTCGTTGCCCTTCAGACTCCTGCTCCTCACACCCATTCCTCCCGTTCCTCCCATTTTGCTCGGCCAGGCCTCTCGTTGAGGAGGCGGGGACGCTGAGGAGCAGCTCGTTCCTTCCCTCTCACACTCTGCCTGAACAGAGTGGCTGTAAAGGACTTTTTTTTGTTTGAGACATCTCTGTAACTCAAACTATGGACACTTTGCTCCTCAGTCTTGACTGAAGGAGAGATTTGACTTCACTTGTTTTTACTTCTTTGGAAACTCAGCCCCTCAGTTTCTTAGTAGTCACTGTTGTGTGGTGACAGAGCAGGATGGCAGCACCATCACTTCTTTTGTACATCGACAGGTAAGATAATAGACACAAGGAGACGCCACAAGTTTGTTTCATGCTTGACATTTCCTCTGCCAATGTGACCTGTTGATGCCTTTTGTTCTGGACTAAATGCACTCTGTTGCTTGGATTTCATATTTTCTGCTTGACTGTTATGGAAGAAAGCCTGCAGCAGTTCTCGGTCCTGCTCACTCACGTCTTTTATGATGGGAAAGAACTCCGTGTGCTCTGCTTTCCTTCGTCTTGTACCGGCTTGTTTGGTATTTCGGTGCCAGGTGTCCTCATTGTTAGCTGAGGCGTAGAAACCGCTGGGACACCTTATCACCTTATTTGCAAACATCAAGATTGAACACCAGTTTTGAGAAATCCTGAAATACTTTGGGGACGGCAGCACAAACCAGTGCAGCGCAAAAGCCTCGGCTCAAACTGAACATACAAACAAGCACCTCTGTCAGTCCTTTTGGACTCTCTCGCTGTTCCACTTGAGCACTCGACCATAGCCGCAGCCATTCAGCTGTCACGTTGAAGTAGATTTGGCCCGGACTGAATGCAAATCATGTTCCTGTTTTATGGCTGCTTGATGGCATACACGAAATCTGAAAAGGCAGTGTTCTCTTGGGCTAAGCAGAGAAGTCTGATCTATAAAGTAGGAAGACTCAATGATATCAGCTCCTCCTCGTTATTGGCTGATAAAAGCTTTACAAATTTGATGATCATTGATGCTGAAGTTTCGAGTCTTGTTTGAAAACGTTGCATTACAAATTAGTATTCTTGTTTTTTGTTTTTCTTACCTTTATTTTCCTCTACCTGCCAGTGGGCTGTCACTGTAAGTCATCATATGTCAATTCCACTCCAGGAGGGACTTTATGTTGTTTGCAGTTTGGTGGAAAAAAAACCACGTGCATGTTGGCAATCGTTAATATATAATGTTGTGTTTCTTTCAACTTACAGAAGGGTTTAACTTTTTAAAGATGCCACCTTCGTTGGACTCTGCACTTTGATCTGTGTTGCATTGCTGTATGGTGGCTCATGGGGTTACTAAAGTTCAGCATTCCCTTGTAATAACTGACTGCATGTTAGAAAATTTGCACAGTTCATAAAAAGAAATCACTGGCTGAAATCGAAATTCATTATTGAGAGCTTGCGATGGACAAAAAGTGTTTATTTCTACAGAGACTTCAGTCACATTTTACAGACTTGATCGGTGGACGGAGTTTTTGCTGGCAGTGATATTAACATTAAACTTAAATGAAAAAGAAACTTTAAAGCTCCAAAAACGAGCAAGTAGGCATTTGAGTTGTTCCACTTCTTTTGTCGATCAAGTCCATCTTTCCTCCATTGTCTCTCTCTCTCTCTTTTTTTTTTTTTAAGATAAGATCTCAATCTTTCTCACTCTTCTGCTACTTCCTTATGAACTAAAAGCTGATGTTTCCTCCCTTTCATTTTTCTCTGGGTGGAGATGGGCAGCTTTGATTACAGTTCTTTGATTACAGCAGATATTCCCATAACAATTTTTTTTCTGTTGTGCTCCTAAGAATGGAGAAATTGTTCGAAAACCAGCAGCTCCTCGGTTTTTTTGTTCAGTGTTTCTGGTGAAAAGAAAAGCTTATGTGTCACTGATAGAACAAAGTCACTGTATGTTGTTCGCAGTCTCTGAGTTAGGAAACGTGCTGGACTTTGTTGACTCTCAGCTTCTTCATTAAGCCCTTCAGTCGGCCGCAGAATGAGGAAATACCTTCTGCGGCTTGAACTATCTTTGTGCACTACAGTTATCAGTAAGCAGAGTGGAAAATATGCAGGACTGACTGAGGGCGGCAGGAACGAGAGTAGCACTAGAGAGTGAATGCTAACTCACCTGACTTCAGGTTTACATGCGTGGATTTGTTTAGTCTGACTTGCGACCAGTTGCTTTTTAAATGGTTGGAGAAAGAAAGCCAGTTTCTTAAACCATCATGGCAGCTGGTCAGGATGTTAGACTTTGATCAAGTAGATTGGAAATTACTATTTTTTTCGTTAGTTGTTGCGAAATCCACTTCTCTTGTTCCTTAACTAGTAGAGCTTCAATGAGTAGCTGTCAACTTTAAAAATAATCATCAGTTATTTTGATGATTGATCTTGTTTTGGGAAATTTTATGACCAAAAGAAAAACAATTCTGCTTCCAGCGTCTTAAAATGTAATATTTTCTGGTTTCTTACCTCCTCTATGATAGTAGTAAGTAATGTTTACCAGAGTTGTCCGGAGCAGAACACAAGTGCAAATATACATCCCCACTGTGGGCATATGATCACACATGCAACATATGGTGGACGGCAAAATTGGCAGTTAAACAATGACTTCAGAAATGATGTATTTCTGTGTTGCTAAACTATATAGCACATCGTACATAAGCTCTGTCATTAAATGTAAAGAGGTAATGTGCAGATTATAAGTGTTTTTAAGAGCAGTGGTTTCTGCTCTTTAAGACGCTGCCTCATTAATTCCCAACTAATAATATTGAGGATAAAGCTTTAGCATTTCTGGGCTCATTGCACATGGCCATCAGCACCCTCCTCTGGCTCCGTTGCTTGCTTCGGTGCAGCTTTTTTAAATGGCTTTTTCAACAATTATGATGAGCACTAATGTGGTGCGACTTGTGGTCCAGTGGTTAAGGTGCCATTTAACTACAAAATCCTGAGTTTTATTCTGGCTGGGAGCCTTGACTGCAGGTGGTACCCCAGCCTCTCGCCCTATGCTTCCTGTCTTTATCTGGGCTTTCAAGTAAAGTGCCAGCGAAACTAAAAAAAGGTTTCTTTGTTGTTCTCTAGCTATTCGTTTGTAGTTGTTTGACATGACCTGAAGCCTTTCTGCGTTTGCTCGCGTCAAGTGATTTACAACTTCACTGTGCAGTTTCCTGTACAACTGGTGTCAAAAGCTCTGTAATGAGCAGTGTGGTTTGAATGATGGCTGCAGAAAACAGTGTTTATTGACAGAAAAGCGCTACATGGGATTTAGTGAATCTTCAGTGTCAGTGTTTACTGAAATGTTGGGAAAGTCTAGACCAATTGGTAGTTAATCCTCTGAACTCGAAGCAGTTTCTTGGCGTTTTTTCTCCTGCCACATTTTAACACCGTGTGGGCTCGTGTCTTTTTTAGTGCAATGTAAAGTCCTGCACCTCTATGGAAACAGCACAACCACAGCTCCAAGTAACATATCTTCTGTGTGGTACAGTACAGCTATAGTCTCGTAAATCAAGAAAGTGAAATTTCTATGATGAGTCATTTCAATCAACATCCAGTGCCCACAGGTGCTGCTGGAAAAAACAATGGTGGCTCTACATGCTATGGATATTTTTGTAATTACTTTTGACCTCTATCTGCTTTGTGTAAACACAGCCTGCAGTTCAGCCAGAAAGTCTTGCTAGTCACAGGTTGGCAGCTTTATGAAGAAGCGTCTTTTTGTACAGGATCTGGTTCGTGCTTATGATTTTTATTGGTTGAAATTTTAAGAGACGTGAAGAATAAAGTGGCTTTAATGAAATACCGTGATTTTAAGCTTTGATTTGGAAAAAAAAAACCTTCCACTGAATTGGTGCATAACAGATGAGTAGTTTAGGAACTGTTGGAAAGTTGAAAATCTGCCGTTCTTTCTGTAATAAATAGTGTAATTTTGGCAACATTAAAAAAAACAAAAAAAAATCTGTTGGCAAGTTCTGGGGTTTAAAGGGTTAAAATGTCACAACAAATTCTTTCCTTAAGCCAGGCATTTATTCTCACACATTTTATCGAGGTCTGATTTCTCTAATCTTCATAGGAGGAAACAGTTTTTTTCTTTGCATAGCTCTCCAGAACTGTTGTAATTGTCATCATGGAAAATTGACATATGGACGATCGGAAATGAGATTTCGGCACGTTATTAGCGAGCGCAGCAGAAGGCCACATGTCTTGAAAACACTTGACTCCAAAGCAAACACAGAAGCCTGCAGCAGACACGATCCACGATCAGCGAGTGGTGTCTGCTCAGTGCTTGGCAGCGTGTTTCCTGTCATCGCCGCCCTGGAGACAAACCCACATGGCTCTTGTCAGGCTGGACAGCAGACAGCGGGTCAGAGGTCGGATGGATCCAGCTGAGACAACTTGTGTGCTTAGACCTTTTCTTCCGTCTCTTCCAGGTTCTCTGGGTGATTTTTAACATGACTTGTTTAGTACAAAGGCTAATTAATGTTAAATAAAGTGCATATTAGTTGATGAGTCAAAATCATTACATAAGGCAGTTGGGAAGGTGAGCAGCCTCTGAATGAGCTTCAACCCAGACAAACAGCAGGATATGGACTCTTTGATGTTACAGCCCTTTATCGTGCCTATTATGTCACCTTGCATGGTCAGAAGAGGCTTTCTTTTTTTTTTCGAACCACTTTATTCATGTCTTTTCACAGCTCGGCTCTTTTCAGGCTTTGAATTAAAGCCCCCGCTAACAGCTCTGCGACAACACCTTTCCAATAATGAAAGAAAACGCTGGCTAAATCATACAATGAACCCTGCTGAAAAGAGAAAGGCTTTTCAGCTGCTTTGCATGTGGTATTTAAACTCCAGGTGGATGGAGGCTCGACATGCAGATTGCTCTCTCTTCCATTCTGACAATCAGGTTTAGTTGTGAGTGCAGAGAAGGAGAGAGAATAAACAGCATGAAGTGAATGAAGATGTGTTCTTCTATACATTCTTGCTCATGTATCGTGCCTTTTTTCTTTTTAATGTGCATCTGGTTTTATTAATCCTATGACTGTACCCAGCTCACATGACATCACACAGGTTGTTAAAAAGCTCTCTGGGTGAACTCCTACGCCTTTGTTCTTAAATCCACACATTCCATTTATGTGCTTATCTCAGCTATGCACTCAAGGAGTAGCGAGGACGCACACTTAGCTCCAACGGTGACCCAGTGAAGACTGCACTCATAGCCTGTGTTCCACTTTGTGCTCTGTGCTGTAATGACCTGATTATTCAGCTCCCACTATAATTCCTCTTCTCTGTCCTTCTGCTCTCTCTCAGGAGCCTGTTTGCCAGGAGGGTGAAGGACAGTCGGCCGGTGGAGGAGAGGGATCCTGGGTGGAAGCTGTTTGGGAAAGTCCCACCTCGGGAAGGCCCCATCAAGGACCCGAAGAAAATACAAAAGGTACGTTTACTTTAAGTGAACGAAGAAAACACATGACACACTCTAAAAGATCCACTGTGACCACAACATCACCACCGTGGCAGTGATACCCTCAGAGTATGTTACAGTACGTCACCCAAGTGTAAATTTGACCAAACAAACACGTTGCTCCTGCAGAAATCAAGGTAACAGTCACATGGACTTCTGTTAACCCTCTAAATCCCAAAGCTCACCAGCAGATTTGAAATCCAAGAGTTATTCTTAAAATACCCCCCCCCCCACTAAGATTACATAATTTAGCCAGAAACTGTAAAAACAGAAAGAATTGTGGCCTTATCAGCCTTCCAACAGTCCTTGAACTACTCATGTATGATGTGTCGCTGAGTCAGCAAAGTTAACCATATCTAAGCTTAAACTCATGATATTCCACCAAGATCACTTTATCCTACATGTCTTTTAATTACCCAAAAATAAAACCATTGCGTCAAAAAAAAATTTGGCACCCGGGCGCAACCGAGAAGCCATGTTCAACTCCACTGCAAGCAAAAGGGATTATTCAGCTGAAGTGCAGGCAAAGTTTAGAATAAACAAAGAGGAGACAAGCATGGCAACGGCTAAATAATGTTAATAGTAAAATATATCTACAGTATGCAAAGCTACCTTTTTTTTCCCAGTATTTGTAACACTTGGGGGCACTTGGAAAAAGAAGTTGTACCTGTTGATTCCTGTTTTTTCTTTAATTTTTGTAAACTAAGCAATCAACAAAAATCTACTTTAGTTTTTTCTTTTTTCAAGGGACATTTTTGATTCCTCTCTACTTCTATCATTGTTGTGCTTTTCCCGTAAAGGTACAGGACAGGTAGTTGGTGAAAAAGTGAGTAAAAATGTGACGGGAGCAAAAAAATGCTCCGAGAAGAGTTCAGAGGTTTAACCCTTTAACCTGATTAAAAGATCTGAGTTTCTTGTTTGCCTCAACTTTCAGTAATCACTTTATTACTGAAGCCTGAAAATGCAAGATTCACTCAATATTTTTGTCTCATGTTTTTGTTAGATGGGGTTTGTCCCACCGAAGCAGTAATATCACAACTAAACATGAAAACGAACCAGAAATGTGTTAAAAATGAACCACCTCAAGAATAATGTATCGCATTGTTTACAGAAAAACATCTAAAGAGCAGCTGCATGGTGTGGCCTATCCTAGATAGGATATCAGTCCCGTGAAGCAACAATAGGTTTGTTTGTTTCACAGTACATGCTCTTGGCTTTCTGTGTGTTTAGTTTGAGCCGATCACAGAGAACATAGACTTCCTGACTTTAGTAGAACACAAGAGTTGCCTCCTCTAAGCAGCTGATCTCTTCTGTGTATATAAATGACTTTAAAGTTTAGAACCTGTTATGAATCAGTACAAAGATGTTTGTGAAGAATCTATAGGAAGCATTTTAAATAAAAGAGTAGAATAAATTTGTGGTGTACATTTGAACAAAATCACCTGTTTCTTGTTTACATGTAGTTCACCATTCCCCTCACATGTTGGTTTTAGATTCAGGCTAACCATCATTGAAAACAAGCCCTCCACTTGTGCGCAGTGAATTAGGTTTATGTGGCCTTGGTGTAGCCTGTCAGCTGCGGTTTATGTCGCTGCAGTAGATCCTGTGACCTCAGGCTCAGTCACAATGTACAGCTGTCTGACACACATTTAAACCATCTGCACTGTGCTGAGAAACCGAGCCAGCAATCGAGGGCAGCATTAGCTCAATAGCACAGGTTGGAACGTCAAAATACTGCTTTTAGACAAATCCGCTTTAGTATATAGTTTGAATTGAATTAGTTTGGTTGATATTATTCAGTTGTGTTTATTTGTCTGCAGTTGACGAAAACAGTGGGTTTAAAAACTCAACTGAATTCGTGCTGCAGCAGCATGTGTGGAAGAACAGCTGCTATTTAAAGGTCAAACGGATGAGCAATCAGCTTTTGATGCAATAAGGGCTTTTTAGCAGAGCTTATCACTGTACCACGGGACAATAAAGAGCACTACATGAGTAGAGTAACCTCCTCCTCAAGACAGATAACTTAACTGATTGAAGATTCAGTTACATAATGACTGTGAACCAGAGCTCTAAAATGAGTCTAAAGTATTAGAAACACGTAACTGAGTACAATCTGTTGTGTTCCTGAACACTGGGAGCACAGCGCCTCGAGCACAAAACGCTCCCCATCAGTGACATTTCGGTTCAGCGGCTATATTTAGGACGCCACATGCTGAAATGCAAACAGCCGCTCACTGTTTGGTTTCAGCAGTTAGTAGAAACCTAATTTAAAAAAAAGAAAAGAGAGAGAGAGAGCGCCAAATGTTGACCCAGCAAATGTTTGACCTGAGCCGTTCATATAGGCAGGGAGTATACACAGCTATTGATTTGGTTAAACGCGAGAAATTATTCCCGTTTTAAATTGCAGCTTAAGTCATAATGCCTTTTCAGTGACCTTTAGGTTAGCCAGACTCAGGTAGAGATGAAAAACATGAGACACTATGTGCGGTAAACTTGTTATCCCAAACTTCTTTAACTAACCAGTAAACGCAATATATGAATGTGTTTAACTGCTCCCATTATATGATGTCTTGGAAAGTAAAGAAACAGCAGCTATATATGTATTTAGCAACATTTAAAGACCCCTTTCCAGTGAGAATCAAGTTTCTCTTTTTTACCGTGTTGACATATCTATAGGATGTTTTTATATGAGCAAAACAAGCAGTCAATGCAGTGGCTCATTATTTCCCCATTGAAACTACAGCGTATCAACAAAGGAACCAATCCCATCGACTTTGCTAGGTTTGACTTATTCTTGTTCAGAACTGGTTTCTGGTGTGACCATGTATCGCTGAATTATTCGAATATGACAGCTTACCACTGTGTAGTTTTACAGCGCTCCAGCAGAGTCGCAAGTGAGCTGGTGTGCTTGAGAGAGAGGTGAGGATTTCATAATTCTGTGCATTCTAAATGAAGCAACAGTGCAGAGATCCATGTAAGCTATTTGAAGACAGGAAGGAATTATTCTCATGGAAGAAACTCCTAAATGGGCTGCAAGGTGGGGAGGTGGTTAGCACTGTTGCCTCACAGCAACAAGGTCACCGGTTCGCCTCCCGGTGAGGATCTTTCTGCGTGGAGTTTGCATGTTCTCCCAGTGTAGCGTGGGGTTTCTCCAGGTTCTCCGGCTTCCTCCCACACAGTCCAAAAACATGTTTAGGGTAAATTGATGATTCTAAATTGTCTGTAGGTGTGAATGTGAGTGTGCTTGGTTGTCTGTCTCTAAGTGTAGCCCTGTGACAGACTGGTGACCTGTCCAGGGTGTCCCCTGCCTTCACCCTAAGTCAGCTGGGATAGGCTCCAGCCCCCCACGACCCTAGTGAGGATTAAGTGGTGTATAGATAATGGATGGATGGATGGAAACTCCTAAATATGTAACCTTGACACACAAAGTTAAGTTTGTGGGGGTTTAATCCTCTGGTTATGTTTTGTCACATTTTTTCCCACTATGGGGTGATTTTTCACTGCAAAAGAAAGTCTGGCACCTCTGTGGAAACAGCACAGCCATGGCTAGAAGGAGAGAGAACTCAGAAATGTCAATTCAAGAGGTGTATTGTCGCATGCACAGAGAACTAGATGGTTATACTGGACAATAAGATTCTTACTTTGCTGATCCTCCTTAACCAAATGGACACAATGTAAGAAAATTTCAAATGATTAAGCATGGCATCATTTTTCAACTAAGTGGAAATGTACGCCTACCATAGACCACTTTTGTTTCTAAATTTCTCGACAAAAAATACCATAAATGATTGTTATGTTTCTGCATAAGATATGTTTGCTCTTGTGGAATGGCTTTGCATATTTCTATGTAACGTGCTGTGGTTAGTATCATACTTTTAGCAAAATTGCAATGTTTGTAAATGATTTGTAGTTCTGCAAGTGGCTGTAGCTTCTCCAGAGGTCAAAATGTGTATATTTAAAATGAAAATTAGCTGCATAGAAATGAGACACAATAATTATTTGACATGCAACACAAACAAACAGGGCCATGCACCTGCTTGTTTGGATTCGCTATCGATGCCCTCCTTTAGAAACGTGCACAAGAGTTCTGCTTTTTTTCTGTGCCCGGCTCCAAGCTCAGTGTGGCTCCAACATACCACGTGCATGTGATGCAGTGTTCAAAATGTCAAGGTCTTTGAGAACACTCTGCTAGATAGCCAGCTGGTGACTGAACACCTATAATTTCCCACTTCCATTCAGAAGCCAGACAGGAGAGTGTCTCAGGCCCAATTAAAGAGCAGGACAGCTCTCTACTGGTAAAATAAACCAAAGAACAAGATGGCAGCCTGTAATTAGAGCCTGGAGAAACCTGTTATTGTGCTTCCATTTAGCCCATGTCTGACACCAGGGAAGCAGCTCTCTTTTCTGTGCTCTTTGTGCTTTTGAAGCCTGCTTTAAAAGGCTTGGTAATGTTTGCTTCCTGCAGCTCACGCCTTTGCTGCAAATGATATACCCGCGTGTTGACTTGCAATGCTTTGAAACTGCGTCCATGTGCACATGCAAACACTCATGTGCACACAGCCGTGCTTAATATCCGGAGTCCATCTCATCTGTGGGTGTAACCGTACACTGGACCCGAGGAGTCGACTAACAAGGCTAAAGTTTCGAGCTATTGTCCTGCCGCTGCTTTTTCAAGGCGGGGTTACTGAAGTCTGTGTGTGTGGAGTGCTTTATTTGCCCAGGTTATTGTTCAGCTGCTCCAAGACATTTCCATGATTTTCCAGCCGGCATCTTTTCCCCCTTCGGAAGCAAAGCTGTGAATCAAATGTTATAGTCTAATTTGCACCACTTTGTGTAGCTGTGAGTCTGGGGACGTGGCTCTCCACTGTATCTCAAGGCCGACAATGTCGTGGTCACAGTGAATTGCTGCCTGCTGCAGAAAGTAATTGTTCTGTAACCTGCTGAGCCTCTAAATCATATTGTGTGGCCGCCCA